AACAACTATCGTACGGCCCACCTGATCTTCCACATTGTTTGATTGATTTAATTGATTGACACAAACCCGCAGATATCCATCTTTTGTCGCCTGCTACTCTGGACAGACCGGTTCGGCCAATGCAATATGCATCGCATCCAGTGCCTAGTGTGAAAGATTTCCAGTCACTTTGGACTGCATGGGATATAGCTACAAAAACTATGATCCCCCGAGAAGATCTTCTATCACAGCCTATCAAACTTCGAAACGCGCTGATTTTCTATCTTGGCCATATTCCAACATTCTTCGGTTCGTCTGCAAATACCAAAGAAGTCTTATTCTTGCTACTGACCTTAGTATGATACAGACATTCACCTCACTCGTGCTTTGCGAAGTAAACCCACAAATCCCAAATATTTCCAGCAAATATTCGAACGAGGGATTGACCCTGATGTCGAAGACCCGGACAATGCCATTCTCACAGCGAGATTCCCGATGAATGGCCCCCTCTGCATGATATCTTGGGATATCAAGAACGGGTTCGCAACCGGGCACGTTCTCTCCTCCAAAATGGAACAAACCTGGATCGCAGTGTCGCTGAAGCGCTCTGGATTGGATTTGAGCATGAAGCGATGCATTTGGAGACTTTCCTCTACATGCTGCTTCAGAGTGACAGGGCCCTGCCGCCCACCGGGGTAGATACCCCGAACTTTGCACAAATCGCCGAAGACGCAAAAAAAGAACGCGAAGCCGAACCAGTGGTTCCATATACCAAAGCAAACCTTGACAATTGGTCTCGACGACTCTGATCATGTGATGCTGCCGAAAGACTCTTTTGGATGGGACAACGAGAAGCCACAGAGGATCACTTCGGTGCACTCTTTTGAAGCTCAAGCTCGACCTATCACCAATGGTGAATATGCGCAGTACATACAAGCTCTGCGTCTTCAAACCTTACCAGCTTCCTGGGTGCACACTTGTTCAGAAAAGGAATATCCGGTCTCTCGTGGAATACACACCTCACACTCTGGGGGAAGTTCTGGTGCAAACCAAATCCAATCGGAGGAAATCGCTGTGCGTACTGTCTTCGGGCCCGTTCCCCTCGAACATGCTCAAGATTGGCCATTGATTGCCTCTTATGACGAATTCGCACACTACGCTAAATGGATGGGGTGTCGAATTCCCACGTTCGAGGAAACCAGAAGCATTTACATGTATTCTGAGAAGCTACGCGGAAACACTTCTCTGCACTGTGCCAACGGCCATAGGTCAGTAAAATCACTTCCACGGTTGATAGATTAACTAACATAGAGCCACAGCAACGGAGTCAATGGAACCCAGAAATCCATACCCGAAGAGCCTTGCACCTTCCGCAATCTTAGCGGCTGCAATGTGGGCTTCAGAAACTGGCATCCCGTCCCAGTTACACCGAACGGAGATCAACTAGCTGGTCAGAGTGAGTTTGGAGGGGTGTGGGAGTGGACAAGTACGCCATTGGCGCCACACGAAGGCTTCAGTTCCATGGAAATATATCCGGGATATACATGTGAGGAATATTTTTTTTCCATTTCTGGAACGAGTCTTTGCTAATTTAGCTATAGCGGACTTTTTTGATGGAAAGCACCACATCATCCAGGGCGGATCATGGGCCACTCTTCCTCGAATTGCTGGGCGAAACACCTTGTGAGTGACCTCCGAATTCCTCGAACAAAACTCAACTAAATGATCCTTTAGCGTCAACTGGTACCAACACAATTATCTATACGCGTGGGCTGGAGCACGTCTTGTGCGGGACTGCAATGTGTAAATAGATAGAGTCCAATGACTTTATCGTAGACAGTTATCATCATACCAAGCTCAAAAATCACTCGGGCTTTTTTGGTTAACTCTCGCTCCGCCTTGTACATAGAGCTCCAGTAATCGCTGTGATGTTGACCACTAAACCCAGCGCAGAAGATCGATAAATCCGCCCGTAGTTGCCCAGCCCCAGAAATGGGCCCAAGCAGAGCAAGGAATAACCAAATCCAGCAATCCCTAGAACGAAAGTGTGGAACCTTCTATGAATGAAGGGGAAGAATGCAGGGAAGGGATCCAGTTACTCGGGACAAATCGCGCCAGCATAGTTAATAGGCCTTGCATTATTCCCCATTACACATGCCAGTTACTTCGATTTCTAATCAATTTCTCCAATTTTGCAGTACTGTAGTGTTACTGGTCGCACGATCTGCCTATTCTCCCGAGAACGCGTTACCGGGGGGAAATCTTGAGATAGAGTTGGTTACCAGCTCACTACTGAACTTAGTGAACGCGTTGCTAGTTGGAAAATAAGATTATCGAACTATCGGAGACTATTTTAATCATCAATCCATGGTTTACAGTACTGGAGAGAGTCGTACCCGCGAGGATGACGACGGTGCTGATCCCTGTCTTTCGTTCCGGGCTAGGATAAGGCTGGGAAGGGGTTGTGCCGGCCATCTTGAAACGCCTCCAAGGAAGGACCCTCGAGGCACTTATGTTGTAAAAAACTCATTAGGCCGTTTTCGGAACTTTCCACTTCTCATAATATCGCTTCTCTGGAGAGCAAAATCATGGAATGTGCCTCTACATCGAGATCTTAGCTCGGCGGCCGACCGAAATTGTCTTTGTGAGGTGTTCGTTGAGCCGGCATTGCTCCGACGCAAGGGGAGGCGCAAAATAAAATACGCAAAAGGTTCCTTGTTTGGTATAGTATTCCGCAAGGACTATCACTTTCAACCTTTTTCTAATCGATTTATGTGGCAACAATGGCCAGAAACAAGGTTGCGGCTTGCCGATAGCACCGGAGACGAGAAGAGAAAGGAATAACCAATAAAGAAGTTCCAGTCAGGAGAATCACATGGGATAATAGGAATTCATATCCTGGAATTATGAGGATTCCCTTGTAGCTAATTAACATGATTTGGCAAACAAAGACTGGCTTTATGAAGCAATTGAAATGAGTCCATGGGTATAGACAAAGATGCTTCAAGTCTGAGAATTGTCCGTCCATAAACTGAGCTGTGGCGATGATACAACACATACTTTACTCAAAAGGTGTCACTGTTATTCATTGAACGATCCCCTGTCAGTGACGAGCCTATGATTGATCGACATCGGGCTAGGGAGATCCGCGATCTCTTGCGTATCCAGCGAGATCGTCGTTACGAGCCAGAGATCCTGGAAATTTACTGTTTTGATGGGGTACCTAGCAACTTGAAGGAGTAGAACTACGAGAAGTCAAAATGATACTTACATCTTTCTAGTAATAACTTCATTCTTTATCACAAATTCTCAAAGCATGGCCTTCCTGCCGGTATTTGATTATTGCCTTCTAATGCACATAACCGATCCAACAAACGGCCCATGTCCTGTCCCGAAATGACCTGCGCTAACAACAAACCTTAACCAATATACGGGCTCCCACCGACCGCAAAAGGCCAAGAATGAAGCAGAGAGCCATTGGCACACGAGGTGCGCCTTTTGCGACCCTCCCTTTGCCTGTTTCGGGGGGCCTCCCCACTCTCTCTCTCCACTTCGATCTTCGAGTGCCTATCATGCACGGGTTTCTGACGCATAGCTATTCCCTGCAGGCTGCAGGTCATAATGGCCTTGCTGCCTGTAGGTAATAAAATAGGCATGTCCATACACTCCGTATTTCCAGGCAAGATCAAACCTTGGAGTTGATGTGGCTTATCACAGAAGTCAAACTTAGTGTTCATGGACCTGTCCTGCATGCTGCGAATTGAAGTCATATACGCTGACCCGGGAGCTCGGTTCGTTGTTCTTTGAGTCGCCAATCCTAGGCCGTGGGAAATGCTAGCCCGCAGCTGCCGCCAGGGACAGGGCAGGACTGCCAGGCTGGAATGTGTCACAGACCCATGAAAGGGATTTACGGGTGAATCTTGCCGAACCTGTCACTGTGTGGTCCTGTCCCATGCCACAGGAGTGGCCGACTGTCGCCTAGTTCAACCTGCATGGGCGGGGCGGTGGATCATTTTGTCCTTGTCAAGCCGTGGGTGGTATAGATTTGCATACTGCATTGAGTGCCTGGAACTTGGCTCAACATTGCCGCATTGTATATGTACCCCGGTGCAGCCTCGTTTGTTCACTCTCTTCTTTCACAGCGCATCAATGACATAGAGCGACTGCAGCTTTCGGCGTCCTTTCTTTATCGTTCCTTGTTTCGGCATCCTCTCGCCACCAGTCTCTCGTTTCGTATTTTGTCTCTCGTTGTTTAGCATTGATCATTCCACCAGCCGAAGCGTTGCTTTTCGCCTTTATTTTTTTTTTGATATAACAAACGCCCAGGCTTTGAAAAATAAGCCTTTGTCCTGAGCTGCCACCGACAATTGACGGCGATCTTCATAAACTCCTCGAGGTCGCTCGATCTTGAATCAACAACCACCCACTATCCAGTATGGAATGTTTTCGACAGATCTTTCGGTGCATCAAAGCACCATTCAGACGTGAAAAGCCGCGAGTGCTTGAAATTGTCAGTTTTCTCGTTCCACTAAAGCGGTGCTTCTTGCAGAAGGGATGACTAACAAAAAATAATGTCATACAGGGACCCCCTACCAACTTCCGGAAGGAAGAACTGCCTGCCTGCTTCTCGGATGCCGAGTCAGTTCTCTCGCCCAGCCAGGCTCAAGGCGAACGCCCAATTCTGACCAAGGAACTACAGCACATTGACGTCTCAGGACAGCCACGAAGCAACGATCGAGAAGACCGAGACGACGATCGAGACAGTCGCCTGTCAGATGTCCCCCAAGGGGAAGATCCAGAGCCACGTTCGACGGATGAGCATCAAGCTCATGCCGCTCGCCTCCGAGACCGCATAAAGCCATCGCGATGGTTCAAAACGACCAAGGTTGACGTGCCTTGAAATATAGGCACGCGTTTTAAACCAATTCTCCTGTTGGGGGACTACCTCAAATCGATTTCAACCCCAATTTATCAACAAAAATAGAGAGAAGGAAAATAATGAGATGTTGAGGATTCAATATTCACAACAGAAATGTCGGAACGTTATGTGAGCGGGATTTTTTGGACCCCAGATTGTTTTCAGCGGGACTTCTCTCGGGTGTCTTGCTCGCAGAGGAGTGACCCTTTTTCTTGTCAGATATAGACGTATTTGATTCTGGTGGCTCTGGCAGCTCATCAAGGTCATCAAACAACGATTGCATTCTTGACTTGAAACCCAAAGTCGGTTTTTTGCTCTGCTGGACCGGCGACAGCTTTCGTTTTTCCACCGTGGTCCTTGTGGCATCCGTCTGCGTATCTTTCTTAGAGCTTGTAGTCCTTTGTATCCGAGATGTTTCCCTCTTTGCTTCTGCCCTTTTGGTCTCAGCTGCCATTGTAGATGCAGGGCCTCGATAAGCTGGCCCATCAAGGTCATCTTCATCTGATGATTCCGTCACGGCACCACTAGACTCGTGACTTCTCATTGTCTCTTGTAGCGGATGAGGCTGAGAGATCGCAGTTCTGCCTCGATTCAGAGTCAACGAAGCTGGCGGTCCAAATCCTGCTGCTGCTCTAGTGGAGGATTTGATTTTCATTCCGAATACTCCAGTAAGAGACCATATACTCTTTTTGGTTGTGATCAACTGGTGAAAATGTGTTCCGGCAAATAGATTCACGTCGTCTTCATCACTCTCATATTTCTCCTCATCCTTGACATCCATTGGTTGAAATGCAGCTTGCTGGCGAGTCGCAAGTGCCTCTGCATTCTTTTTGATTTGTAGTTCTTTCGGCATAGCCGTTCGGCCATCTGTTGGACGATCAATGCCATCCGCAGTTATCCTTCCTGGAGCATACCCAAGAGGATTAGTATGCCGATTTAAGACATTTGAATCGGGGGAAGGCTCGCCCTTGAGGATATTTATGCATTTCGATTGTTCGGTAGAGGAGCTGAAGAACTTGAGGTCAGCGATCCTGTATCTCATTTTTCACGCGCATTCATTCATATTGCCATACCCATCAGAAAGGTCGCGTTCGGTGAGAGACATGTGAGGTTGTGCTAGTGTGACAGCAACCACGTCAGTTTCACATCCAAGCCAGAATTTTTCACATCACCTACAGGATTTGAAGGCTTCTTGCCTGACCTCGCCCAACGGTGGGCTATCTGAGGCTACATGGTCGTCGGAAAGCGGCTCTTGCTTGACGTGCTTTCGTGGGGCGACTGCCCATCAAAGTCGACGGTGTCATGAGTTCCCATCCATGGCAAGTTCCTGGACATTTTGACTCATTCAGAAAACTTGTTGGAGCCGTGAATTTTAGTTGTGGTGGGGAGAACACCGCCCAGAAACTTATTGCAATGGTTGTCGCGAGGGAATTGGAGATCCAAGTTAGATCGGCGCGATAAGAGATGAGGTCACCTACCGCTGGTGCCTGTCCGGAAATCCAAAGGCACCACCCGTTACCAAGTCCAAGTCTACGTCTACATAGCGAAGTTGACACTAAGCCTAGCATTGTATAAAGCAACCTCAATCATATTTGGTATCTGGTGTAATATTGACAATTTTTTTTTAAGTAAAAAAAGCCTGGCAGGCAAAAACAACAATGAAGCCATCAACGCCATCAAATCGCAAGGCCCGGGATGAAAGAATGGGCTCGCAGAACGCCTTTAAACCGCCGGGAAGAAGAAAACGCCAATAATTTGTTGCCGCAAATATTCATCTATGCCTCGCCCGGTCGTTTGCTGTTGCAGCTGACAATCTTCACCTTGTCCGCGGTGACGGAGGTCTGGTTGTCCAACTTGAAGGTCACGTCCTTGATCAAAAAGGTCCAGACTTCATCGCAGAATCGGTACGTATCGAGGTGGCCCTGAGAGACGAAAGGAAAAGCGGATAGTCAGCCATCAGATATCTTCGTAGAAATGTGTGCCTCTCTTTCGCGAAGGGGGTCGATCCGTGTTGTACCTTGAATGTAAGCCTGGCCCGAACGCGGTCAGCCAGGACCTCTGTAACTACTCGGTCAAATGTCGATAGGATCTTCATCGCCAGCTGCGGTTCGATACGGCCATCGTTGATCAGGTCATCGAGAGTATCGGTGAGAGCGAGGCCGAGGCTAAACAGGTCCAGGTCAGCTCTAAGTTTCCGCTTGCAGATTCCAGGATTTCCCCCTACCTGCTCCCGCGATACAGCTCGTAGTAAGACGTGGCGGACGACATCTCAAACGGATAGCGACAGACTTGACAGCGACTGAGATGGTATCGAACGGTCCGTTGGCTGGACCCGGCCGATGGCGGGGATGGGCGCAATGGAATCACGTGCCTTGACAAAGGCCAGACCGCCTGCGCTTTCCGCCTTATCTACAATTTACGTCAGTCGCCTGAGGTGAGCAAAAAAGAATACAGTAGCTTCGTTCCTTGTCCTTTTTCACCTCCCCTTTCGCCTCCAATTTCATTCATGATGCTAGCGAGGAATCTTTCAACCCTAGTATTCAAGAACGAGGCCATCTATGCTGGCCTCAATGGTCAACCTACCATTCGAGCCTTATCTTCCGCCTCTCCCTCCACAACATCCAGAGGTTGGTATTGACTCCTAAAACGCGATTATATTGCTTGGTGAATGTCGTGAACTCAGAAAAAACTGCAGGTCTTACTCCAGATAATTCCAAAAACCAAGCCGAAACCAATCCGAACGAATCCCCGTCGAAACCCGCCAGCAAGCTCCAAAGCACGAATCAAGTGAAATCTATTGCCCAAGCCGATGCTGAGCTCCGAGAGAGAATGGAACGAATGTCTGGAGAAGGAGGTGCTGCCGGAGTAGAATACGAAGACGGCAAACCAAGTGCCATGAAACGTGGCGTGCGAAACAACATGTTCCGGCTGATCTGAGCGTGCCATGGCTAGAATTGCAACGACTACTAAACTCATTACACAAGCTGTGCACCATGTCAGCGATATACATCCGGACAGAGAAAACGATTCTGCCCGGCCTTGTTTCCCGTTTTAAGGTTAATCGGGGGTATGTTGTGGTCCCACGGCCCCCGGGGCCGAGTCTGCCATGCCATGACTCGCCGAAAATTTGCATCACCTTGCCGGCTATGCGACCGTTTTCCTCCTACCTCATCCTGAGTAAAGCTTGAGCTACGAATCTGGGGATCTAGGGGGATCTAAGTATCCGGGAATCTGCCGATGCCAAGCGGAAAATGTTCGTCATGATGGAATATTCCCCTTTTCTTGAGCGCTAGCATTCCTCATTACGCCGCCTTCGTTGGAGCCGCGCAATCATGCTGGCGCTTAGGTCGGCTGGCACATATATCTTCCTCGAGCTGGCGTGTTTTTGGCAAGGTGGCCAAGGGATTCAGACGCAGCAGCGATTGCGCGGCTCATCGAACGTCGCAATTTCCAAGACATACCAGGATGATCTAGACATTGGCCTGGCCCGGTGTGATCGGCTCTCAGCTGCAAATCATACTCGATTCGGATATACCGTTGAAACATACGAGATGGCAGCGCTGGCAACATGGAAACACGGGAAACCAGAAATCAGGATCAAGAAATCACGATCAATAATTAACTAGAGACCATCTCTAGTTGTTCATGTTGACGCATTCATATCTGCGGTGGTACAAGAGAGTTAATATACCCCTGGGGTGTTCAGGGCTTGTATCTCTCAATTTCTTCTAGTGATATCAAACTCAGCGCATCACAAGTAGCATGAAAATCTCAACAGAAAGAAAAAAATCCCATTTCTATATGGTACTTCCTGAAAACAGCCGATTGAACTGGACATTGGCCCATCCTAATTCTTTTCCCACCACTAGACTCCACCAAAAACATAAGATCAACAGATTCAGAATAAAACCCGGATGCGTGCTTAAAGTCGTAAAAAGTTTCATTTGCTAGAAACCATGCCAGCCAAGACGCCCGCTCCAATGACTCCTCCATCGGAAGCCTCGCGCAAGAAAACCGACTTTCCGCCCCGCTGCGGACCGGTACGCATGATCAGTCGATCAATATGCTGTTGGCACATTTCTTTGAACTGAGGGTAGTGCTGGATGATGCCGCCCGTGTATGCCACCACCAACTCCTCCGGGCCAGATTGCCAATCGGCTGGAATTGGCTGTAGGACTGGGACGACGTGGCCGTGGAAGCTATTGCTGACAGGGTTTGGGGAATGGGTCGGTTGCGCACTGGAGGCTGGATCTGCGATACTGTCAGGTGCTGCGGCATCACCGTTACTTTGTGGTGACGCGGCATTTTCGGGGGTATTGATATTGCTATCTTCCTTCAACTCGATCTCGCGACAGCATGCAAGTAGGCCGATCACCGCGGCAGCGATCAGGCCAGCCGATCGTCTTTGAACAGTCCGAGCGATTCGACGGAAGGCTCCTGCAGTGCGGGCATCCCAGCGCCAGTCACTACTCTCCGGTGGGGGAGAGAGCTGTTGAGTTCCTTTGCGAGGTCGACATCCGATCGGGCACGGGCGACATGGTCAGAGATATAGGTAGTAGTCAGGGCGTATTCCTGGATGAGATTTGCTGGGAGGATTCGTCTGGAGAGGCCCGCTATTTCGGTGAGGTAGTCGAACAGGATCAAACGAATCAGTTCGCCAATGTACCGTCCACCAGTCATATACTCGAATGGCTGAAATCCCGGGCGCGCACAGGCCCGGTCCAGCTCGACATCCCATTTGGTCGTGATGTTCAGCTCCCGGAGTGGTGGCGCTGCGCCTGAAATGGTCCATTCCGTATTAACGATTGTTTCGACGGCCTCTGCGTTCATGGCGTTGACATTCTTTGCTTTGGATTCGTGCAGCGAACTGAGTTTCATTGGGATGGTTGCGTTACATCCCGTTCCCACGATGATGCCCATGGCGACCCGGCTGTTGGGCAGGGATTTGACAGCATATGCGAGTGAGGCCAGCGTCGCAACCGTGTCGTTTGTGATGGCTTGGATCTTCAGCTTGGGCAGAGCAAATAGCTTGCGACGTTTAGAAGACGGTTCATCCTCGTCTGGCCTCCTCGTGTGCTTTTCGTATCCGTTTAATAGAATATTGCGTAGGTTGAGGTTAGATGTAATAGCAAATCCTTTACCCATGGGCATCAATGTAGCCTCCGCCAGGGATTCTTGCCTATCAATCAATTAGCGTTGCTGAACTCGTATTTATGAAGTTAGACAAAATGCGACCCCATGGGGTCTCCAAAGATAAGGAATAAAATAAAATGTTTTTCGAAAAGCAGGGAGACTGACATTATGGGGAAACTGAAGGTAATGCCCATGTCGAGCTCGGCTGGGATATCCTTCTTGGTGTCATCCGAGGTAAGACTCTCCGCGACCACCTCCGCGATACAATCTCCGATCCAGTCAAATAAATCGTCGGCCTTGTCCATCTTTAAATGCTCTTGAATGGGCCATGCTCGCTCAAGGGTCCGCTTCACTCGTTGTCGTTGAGCTTTGCGGATGGTATTCCGCGACCTCTCTGAGGCATCTGCGGGGTGACTCTCGGACTCCACCTCACCTAGTAGCTCGATAAAAGCGACTCGGAGGTTGCTACCTCCTACATCGATCGCCAAATAACGACCGGCTTCCTGGCCGGTGGGTAATTGAGTCACCGGGGTCGGCAAGAATTGCTGGTCTGAGGTCAGGGCCAAATGGCGGTATGTATCGGAAAAGCGGCGCGCCAGCCTGTAGAGGACGGCCTCGTCCAAACACAAGGGGCCAAGGAAATCATCTAGTCGCTGATGGTACTCGAGGTATTCTCTCTGAGATGGATCCAGCTCGGAACTGGGCTCCTCTGGCTCTTCATCCTCGATGGTATCGTCGTGCATGATGTCATGCTCCTCATCCTTCTCGAACGATATTGAATTAACAGACGCCATTGGGGAGATGTTAGGTGGTATTTAAACCACCCAGGAATGGTGAAAGAGACCCAAAAAAGGGAACAGCCCTCAAAATGAAAGGGGAAAGAAAAGAAATAAAAAGGGAAAATCAAGGTAGGTCCTGCGATGTTGTTTTCCTAGGCAACAAATGATCTAGGAAGTTCGACGTTTGCCCTTGCGTTTGACTCTGATGGGATGACAGGGAAAGCGGAAGCTAAAAATACCTGGGCAGAGAAAGCGTTAGTAAGGTTGCAATGCAATTCACGGGTCGGCCGGGTGAACACTTTGCAAAATGCAAATGCAAATTCAAAATGCAAACTGCAAAATGGTGACGCGGTCTGCGGTGCGGGGAGGGGGGAAAAGAGCAGAAAAAGAAAAAGAAAAGAAAAAGAAAAAAAATATTACAGGGGACGATCATGCCGGGAAGGATCTTCAGCTGTCATAGAATGTTTTTTTTCTCTCTTTTCCCTCGTAAATACGTACCTAATCTTGGAAGGTAACTGTGGATTCCGGTCTATCAAGGGGCAAGTTCAAGTTCCAGATGTGATGCCAACGATCCGGGATCGGCCAGGGATCCGAGGAGCCTGGAGCTCCCTGGGCAGGTACTGGCGTATATATAGGGCGATGGTATACTCCCGTAAGTATATCTGGACCCTCACTGGAGGATATCTTGCCAGTGACTGCCCGATCTCCACTCTTCCCCGTTTTGCCAGGGAGAAAGAGCTCTCTGTCAATTTACGGTTTTATGGTTTGTTAAGGATTTGTCTCCAGCTTGAACTGAACGGAAAAGAGTGCGAGTGGATCCCCTTTGCCCCTGTGGTCCCGATGGTCCCTGGAGAATCGATGATTCTATGTAATATCAACCGAGATGGTAGGTGCTGAGACGATGACCTCTGAAGCGACTCTTTATTGAAAAAAAGGGTAGGTAACACGGAATCAAATCAAATCACAGTCAAATCACAATCAAATTCGATGGACTTGCCGAGATTTAAGCACGAGCTGGCGGAGATGCGACCATCGGGGAGAGGGGGGAGGACACGAGTCGATACCACCCTATTTTCCCTATTTCTATTTCTGTTTCTATCTCCATTTCTATTTGTTCATGCTCGTCGTCGCCTCTCTTCCTCTTTCGTGAGTGGTACCGTTGAAACTCTCCCTGTCTCTCCACTCATCACAACTTCTAGCGGCTATTTCGTATTAGGGAATTCACCACGATATATCCAATTTGTGAAGCTAGTCTGACGATCGCGGTCGGAGACAGTTCCACTCTCTGTTTCCACGCGCACACCTGGGCACTCCATCCCCCTCCTCCCCGCCGTTCCCCTTCTTCCAAACGGGAACTATGTAACCCTACCGGGCCATCCGAACGAGCTGTGCTCTTCCCCTCGTCCTCGGTTAGAAAACTCGGCTACAATCACTTCTTGATCTCGCCTTCAGGCGCCAGCTTGGCTCTCACTCGTTACGGAGAAAAATGGAAATAAATTACGCACGGTCGCGAGCCAAAAAGCCCCATGCCCATGCGGCAAAGAGTAAAAGTGTGGGGCAACGAAAACGTGCTAAGTTTATCTCGTTCATCGCGCCATTCGCCGAGTTCCTATTTACGATATTTTCTTTTTTTTCCCCTTTCTCTTTTTATGTTCAACTGCCGTGGTTGGTGGTGCTCTTCTGGCCCAACCCGGGAATGACCGTGTGCATCCCCAATTAACATTGGCGGGCACAAACCCACACCCTAAGCCAGTAGGGTCAACAGAATCAACAGGGTCTCGATCATTTGCTGGCCAGCCACCAAAGAAATGTCAGCTTCCACGCGACTGGTCCAGCCTCTCGTTTCAAGATTTAGCAGAGGAGAGGATCTAAGTTCGGACTCTTATCACCTGCTCCCCGTCATCCCGTCGCCCCGTCGCCCCGTCGCCCCGTCATCTCGTCATCAAGAACTGCACAAGCAGGCACAAAAGAGAGCCTCATAATACGCGGTGCCACACCGACGGCGCTAAACGGGAACGCCATCGGAAATTTTGCATTTGAAATCCGGCTTTTGCTCTTGGGAATTTGGAGAACTTTAAAAACTTGGGGCACCGACATCTGGGTAAGGGCCTCCGAAATCGGAGTTCAGGCATGCGGAAGAGATGTATCTATTTGACGCCCTTGTCGATATCCTGGTGGAGAGGTGGAGGGGCTCCGCTGAGTCTCACGAGGCGTTTTAGCGTCTCCGGTTGGGTATTGGGTAATAATAGGCTCGTTCGGCTCAAAGGGCCTGGACACGATAAAATTGACCTTGATCAATCCTCACTAACATTGCCTATCTTAGCAAGGGGAGACGGGAATTCGTCAAACTCAACCCACGTATCAACTCCGTATCCTATGGGAACAAACTAACAAGCGAATCTGCCATTGGTATCCTCTACCCCGTCTCAGCCTGAGACATGAATAGGAAGCTTATGGCCGCCTATCAGCATTCACCAACTACCAGAGGTAGTCGAGTGTTCACGGAACTAATCGGCAGCAATTATCTTCTCCTTCCTTCTCTCCCCGGTCATTTGTTTAACCACAATAGACCCGAGAATATGTACTCCGTCCACCCTGATTATCTTGAAGCTGGTCAGGTGGGCTGGTTGCCTTGCAGCTGACACATGGCGGTTTACCCGCAGCTTGAATTGCGTGACATGTTTGGTGGCACTAACTAGCCTTAACCGCTTGCGCGGCTTACGCGAGTACGAATCGACCCCATGGTTCAAAGCTCCGCACGGATCGAAATAAGCATAGAATAGCTCGTGTCAGCTATGTCCATGAGGCTCGCGTTTTGATACGTTATCAGGAGAGCTTACGTTCATTTGTCTTTTTCGATTATAGGTAATCAGGAGGACGAATTCCGTGTAGGGGATTATCGGCGCATTAATTCGTCCGCTTCTAGGTTTCTCAGTGTAACCAATGCTATACAGTGGCTTTGTATAATACGTTTACTAGAGTTTCTGAATGACACACTGGATGATGGGCAAAAGCGAACGGGATTTGCTACTTGGGTAGATTAAATCATATTCGAAAAACTGATCTATATTACACATTCGTATTTTGTTGATCAAGCTTTTGGAAGTCAGTTTGATCTCACACTACCCATGTGGATTGAAAATTGCAGAACACTCTTCCTCAGGACGAGGACCGCTGAGCAGCTTCTGTGCCCAGGGGTGGGCTAGCTATTCTCATCAGTCAGGTTTGTATTGGCCCTATGGGCAATGGAAGTATCACATAGTACTAAATATCATCTCCCAGAAGCGTGCAACTTTGGAGCAGGTTTTCGTCGACGGCAACTGGATATCCTTACGAATACACCGTTGAATCTCAGATACCCCCAGGCTCTTGGTATGGCCATAGAATCCTGAACAACTCCTGTTCTTCTTCATCCTTCGCGCGCTGGAGGGTCTGTGAATTTCGGGCCAATCGTGTCTTTTTTATGGAGGCTTCACAGGCAGGCCTCAGCTTCCATACTACATAATCACTCTGTTAAGTTTAACTGTGGCTCTGCTAACTAGCCCAGACTGTACGGTATGGGTACTCTTCATAGACTCTTACTCATATTGTCAATATATCAGTTGACGTCATATACCACTGGCAAGATGGCCGAGCGGTCTAAGGCGCACGGTTCAGGTTTACCTGATCCTCTGAGATCTATTAGATTTCCGTGTCTCGAAAGGGGCGTGGGTTCGAATCCCACTCTTGTCATTTTTTGCCTCCAGGCCTATGTTTTTGCAACGTTTGGGCCATTAGTATACTATCGCGGAGCGGAAGGGTGGGGTGGCCGAGGTCAACCAGCAAGCTAGAGCGGATATAAGGGGCCCAAATCTAGCAAAGAGCATTTGATACGTCTTCGGGGCTTACTGGATACAATCCAGGATTTCAATAAAATATTCCTTCTATACTATGATATCTTAATCGTACTTTAGGTATAATGAATAGTATAGATCTGACAACAAAATACTCGTACTATGAGTATACATGTCAATCAGCAGGCCGAGACCGCGGGCCCACAGTAGCTGCCTTACGTAACCCGCCTTCTAAGGGGCTCCGACCAAGAATCACAACTTCTCCGCACTTCATCCTAAACAAAATGACAATCCTAAGAAAACCAGTCCTCTCTGGGACTTCCAATATGGAAAAACTGCCTATCCATACTAACGAGGACCTTGCAGGTCCCCAGCCTGAGATGGGCTACCGCAGAACAACGCCAAAACAGACCTCCGAAAAACACCCTGCTTCGTCGCATTTTCATTGCTCTGGTCTTTTTTGCTGGCTTCTATCTGTTTGTCACGAAGGGATCTGAATTTCGCCTTCCCGCGCCATGCCATGCATCCGGTTCTTCCAAACAAACCATCATGGACCACAAAGAGCAAGCCCATGCGTTCAACTCCAACATGCATGCTCCCGAGTCCCATAAGATCCCACTGGAAGCTCACATCATGAGCAAATGCCCTGATGCGCAAGAATGTCTCAAGGAGTTGATCTTGCCAACTATGGAGCAAGTCAGCGACAAGGTAGACTTTCAACTATCATTTATCGCGAAGTAAGCGCACATCCGGAGCCTTCTTGCCCCATCTGGCCCCCAAACTCCCCCCCCCCAAACGCGAGCTTCTGATACTCATTCATCGCATGTATAGCTGGAATCCCGCGTCGGAAGAGATCGAATGCAAGCATGGCCCAACCGAATGCATCGGCAACATGCTCATACTCTGTGCTGCAAATCTTCCTTTCCCTCCTACATCTGACGAATCGTTGCTCCCGGCAATGTACCCTCGTACTCCTGTCATTCGATCCTTGGGTTTCGCAAACTGCTTGATTGATGATTTCCCTCGTATACCGGAACGCGATTTCGTTCACCAGTGCGCTTTGGAGCACGGTATTGATTTTGATGCGTTGAACCGGTGCGCTAGTCAACAGGATGACACTCCCGGCGAATCGCTCAGCGGGATTGCTCTTCTAAGACAGAACGTACAACGAAGCAAGGAACTCGGCGTCACTACAAGCTGTACGGTTCGCCTGGACGACAAAGTCTGGTGCATTAAGGACGATGGTGAATGGAAGGATTGTGTCCAGAACGGCGAGGGTGGTAAACCACAAGTATTGGTTGATGAAATCAACAAACTCTACAAAGAGAAAAATTAGGATTGACACGACGCCCATTGATACCCACACAGTGACTCAGTTAATGATTAGCATTATTTTATAATTTATATTCGGGGGTTTCTCTTCTTAACAAATTTGAAAACTAAAGAAAATGCTCTTTTCGTTTTACCTTACAAGCCCTTGACTTATTTAGTTCTAAGGTTTGCATTGGAAGCTGCCTGATCTCCGAGATGGGCCTCGCTAGTATCTCTCATGTTGTCTGCCGTTGCCAAACCACTCCCACCCATCGACCCGTCCACGCCATCTTTCGCCTTTCCCCCTCCCTGCACAACCCAACCACGTCTTCGCGCGTCGCTATTCCCCTTTTGAAGCTGTTCACTTCACCTACTATTTTATGACCCTACACAGCGCGCGGCAACCTCGCCAACAATGGTCTCTCTCAATCGGAAGGTGGCTGAATTGCGAGCCAAATACAGTGGTATCAACGAGCCCTCTCCTCTTCTCACACGAGTTCTGGATGACGACACCAAATCGTCGGCCCTCTACTATGTAGTCAATCGCCAGGTGCAGCATATTTGCTGCCACTCCTCGAGCTGGGATGATGGCGAGGTGACGATCTACGACACGGCACTGGTCCGCATGTACGAAGAGGGCCTGCCTCTTCAGAACATTGGTCTGCTCGAGCTCTTCTTCGCCGAGTACATGGGCCTCGGTCTTTGCAGCTCCGCCGAAGAGGAAGAGGCAACCGTGAATGCCTTCCTTGCAGCAGCCCATCCCATTACGCACAATGGTCGGTACCTTTTGCACCTATGCCTCACCCCCTCCAAGTTGGCCTAAAGTTTAACGAATCCCAATAGCTACGACAGACACTGAAAGCCCCTACATTTATCAAAGCCAGAATGACCGAGAGTCTTGCGATACCATCTACCAAGAAGACAAACAAGAAGACAAGCAAGGAGATAATGTCGGCCGCCGATCTGAAATGAGCAACAAGGACAGTTCTAAGGACACTTCCAAGGATATGCGGAGCCCGAAGTCTGAATGTGAACTCAAAGATGGCAAAAAGCCCTCGCCCCGGAAGGAGGCTTTGCTGGAGAACCTTGTTCAAGTCTACCATACTGCCAAAGCTGATTACTATCTCGGCGACGCAGACAAGTCTGGTATTTCAAGCAAGAAAACCGACAAGTTCAGCAATGTTCGCTTCCTCCGGGACAGCTCCGAGAATCTACTTCGTTATATGAGATCCGAGGGCTATGACAATCATCCGCTGGTATCTGAGGTGGAAAATGTCGCCGATGCAAGCCGTGAACATGCCGAGCACCTTGCTGGTTGCAAGAGAAACTATGAACAACGGGAGGGCAGCAACCACGCCCACTCTCGGTGGTCCCACAAGCGCCGGCGCTGGAACCGAGGCGTTGACTCGTATCGCCCTGGAAATTGAAAACATACAACTATGGGAGTGCTCTGTTGCAGGGGAGAGTATGATGTGTTTTACTCGCAGGCGGGTGAATCCAGAGAATCAGCAATGCCTGGGAGGCATTTTCATGTTTGTTTTTTTTGTTTTTTTTTTTTGTTTTTTCACTCAATCTGCTATGCAGAGACAGAAGAAGTTTCTACCAATTCCAAAAGGTTTTCCTTTGCCATATTGTTACTTTGTGTTCCCATCACTGACCCTTTGGCCTAAAATTCTCCGATGTATACTTCCCGTAGTTCAGCCCTGTAACAAACCAGCCTTCCAATGAGACAAAACGGCAAACCCGCCGGGGAGCGCGTCGATCGGCGCTAACCCACTTTGGTCGCATCTCCACGTGCCGGGATTACGTAACATTTTGCGGTCTCGAGGTCAAGTCAGCTGGCAATTCGACATCTTTTTTTCGGCCAGGAGCAGCTCCATGGATGGAGCTGGTGCGGAGATCATAATTCTGGGGAAACCCTGCTGAAAGAATCGCTACCTACGATAACCGGACCAGAATGGGCTCTCTTCACATTCCTCCTCCCGCCGCGGGAATGTGCGATCCGACGATTCCGCCTCCTCCTCGAACTCACGATACACGCCCGTCTCCGATGATCTGGAAGAACAAGAACAAGATGGATATGACTACTCATCGTCAAGGTCGGGAAAAGCGCCCATGGGAAACCTGCGATTACAGACGGATTTTGGAGATGATGCGGAGACGACCGAGCCTGTTTCTGGAGATGAGGATAATCGATTCGATTCCGATGAGGATGTAGAAGGAAAGGCAGGGCAAGCTGGGGATGGTCCGAAATACACGCCGGAAGAAGAGAAAGAAGTTGTTTCGGTATTTGATCGACGTCTGGTCCCATTCTTGGCCCTACTTTATTTGCTGGCTTTCCTGGACCGTTCAAGTATGCTTGCCTTGGATTTTTGAAGATTGACGATCTATATCATACTGACTGGCGGAAATAGATATCGGAAACGCTAAAATTGCCGGCCTACAAGAGGATTTGAACCTCTCATCTTCGCAATATGAATGGTTACTTACCGCATTCTACATTACTTACATCCTCTTCGAATGGATGACCCTCATGTACCGCCTGGTACCACCACATATCTATATCTCCGTCTGTGTTTGTGGGTGGGGCCTCGTGGCTTCATTTCAATGTCTCGCTACATCATTTTGGGGACTTGTCGTCCTCCGTGCTCTGCTCGGAATTACGGAAGCGGCCTTTGGCCCTGGTGTTCCGTTCTACCTATCACTTTTCTACAAGCGTGATGAACTTGCATTTAGAAATGGGCTTTTTATTTCAGCGGCTCCTCTGGCAACCTCTTTTGCGAGTACCTTGGCTTGGATCATCGTTAAGATCAGCAGCAATGGTGCCATTTCTCCCTGGCGTATCCTCTTCTTGGTTGAGGGCTTCCCCAGTATTATCGCTGCTGTTTTTGCTTGGATACTCATACCCGACTCTCCAGGTCGAGCTCGCTTCCTGACCCGCCGACAGCGAGTCATTGCTCGACTTCGTCTCGAGGGGAAAAAGGCCGAGCCCCAGCATTCACAGGAGCAGCACCGGTTTAACTGGGGGGGAGATCAAGAAAACACTTACCGACCCCAAGGCTTACATGGCTGCTGTGAGTTACTATTTCGTGCATGCTTTCCACAAAGCCGAAACTAATCTCTTTTGTTCAGTTTATGTTTTTCAGCTGCAATGTTGCCTTCAGTTCCATGCCGGTGTTCCTCCCCACTATTATCAAAGAGTAAGCTTGTCTCATATCCACGACCAAAATAAATCTCTGACCCCAGCAGTATGGGATACGACTCTCTTCACGCCCAAGCGCGTTCCGCGCCCCCATATCTCGTGGCATTCGTTGTCGTCCTCCTAACAGCTTACGCCTCGGACCGTGCACGCACACGAAGCCCCTATCTCATCGCACACGCCCTCATCTCCTCCGCTGCGTACCTCGCCATCGCAATAACGGGTCACTTCCAAGATCACATCTCTCCAGGGCTGAGTATATTCATCCGATATGTTTGTGTATTTCCAGCTACGGCGGGATTTTTCTCAGCAATCACATTAATCATCACCTGGTCAATGGATAACCGAGTCGAAAAGGAAGGTAAAGGAGCCAGCATCGCCATCTTGAATGTCATCGGGCAGTGTGGACCATTACTCGGAACACGATTGTACCCTGAGTCCGACGGGCCGTGGTATGTTCGTGGTATGGCAACTTGCTCATTTTTCATGATTGTCGTCGCCATCCTGGCCCTCGTGTTGCGGATCTTGTTACAGAGAGAGAACCGGGCCGTCGCCAATGATGAGGACCACGGAACGGTGGATCCAGGCGAGGAGCGAGAAGAGCTTATGGGCGGCGGAAGAAGGGATGATTTTGAACGATCTGGTGATCAAAGACTTGTGTATATCATTTAATGGTCCATGGTGGGTGGCATTTCATGCATTTGCCGTTGTTGTTTCAATGCTCTGTATACCCTCATATTTAGAGAGGCTATCTAGTCATCAATCCACACGGAGAATTTACTATTCATGCTGGAATTATGTTTCAACGAATCTTGGACGGCGTAGAAGGGAGTGCAGATGGGAAAGTTGACATTCAAAAAGGCTTGATGTAATTATTTTTTTTGGTATCTCATTAAAGCCTATAGTAGAAAAATAAATGGTCTGAGCCCGAGTCAGAAATTCGAGGAAGTCGAAACCGAGTCCCTGGTATTAAGAGGCTCCATCCCAGGCCGTGGGGTATTGGACGATAGAAAACGTAGCAGAGCCTGGAGATGGAATTGAAAGTTCACTCTTATCGATGGGGTCCTATCCAACATGCAACCTATTTACAGCGCAGCATGTTGGACAAAATCGATACTGCCCAATGCGGTTCGCTTTTTGATGGATGGCCATTTTCAGATATTGAGTCTGTGGTCTGCGGCGCTGGTTCTTTTTGGTTTACTTGCGTTGTATTATTGCATATCATGGTTATCGTTGCAAGCATTTACCATGCGGTGTGGCCACCATCAATGAGCATAGTGCTGCCGGTCATGAAGCTGCTAGCATCGGAGAGAGCGAAAAGGGCGGCACCGCGAAATTCCTCTGGCATTGCCAGACGACCAAGCATGTTCTCGGCTTCCCAAGTGGCGCGAGCAGCAGGGTTCTGCTGGAAAACCTCCTCGACCATTGGGGTGATGATGTGGCCGGGACACAGGCTGTTGACACGAATGCCGTGACGGCCCCATTCCATTGCCAGTGAGCGAGCCAGTTGGATTACGGCAGCTTTGGAGGAGTTGTAAACTGGCGAGGTCATGCCCTTGTTCGCGATAAGGCCACTCATACTGGCAACCAACAAAATAGAGCCCTTGACCTGGTAGTTGAACATCTGGCGAGCAGCAGCGGTGGCGGAGTTGAAGACACCATTGTAGTTGATGGTCATCACATCATCCAGAGCTTGCTGGGAGTGCTCCAGGGCACTGGAGAGATGATTAATACCGGCGGCGGCGATCAGGCCGTCAAGACGTTCGTGTTGAGCGGCAATAGCAGCAAATGTGTTGTTCACTTCGGTGTTGTTGCGTACATCAATACGGATATACTCCAGAGTACCGCCATACTCGTTTTCAGCTTTCTCCTGAGCCTTGATGAAATCGGGATGGGGGGTCTCGAGGCGATCGAGAGCATAAACTAGGATTGGGATTAGTAAAAGGTTATGTGTATCCAAAAAAGAATGTGTCAATTGCATACCCTTGGCACCGGCCTCAATCAATGCTTCCCCCATTGAGAGTCCTAGCCCTCGACCACCACCGGTTATGGCGAATACACGGCCCTCAAGGTCGAACTCGCGAAATCGATTGGCATTGCGTAGCTGTTTCTTGGACGGCAGCTTGGACTGAATGTGGTCGGGGCTGTGAGAGATGCTGTGTATATCCTGTGGATTAAATGCACTCTTGGTGCTTGAATATAGCCTGGTCGAGGAGGATGTGAGCACACGCGGAGCCGAGATAATTGCGGCGCCAGAGAGGCGAGCGCGAGCCGGGGCGAAAGCCCGAGACATTGAGAAAGACATAGTTATTAGGCGTGGCGATCAAGGTCTGGCCGAACGTTTTAAAGTGACAAAAATAACCTTTGACAAAGAATCAAGCTGTGTCACGGGCGGGGTATACAAGTCGACGACACGCAAGTATGCAAAATATCTGAACGCTGGCCTCATGGTTCTCTTGGGGGAATGGGGTTTTATGCCTAAGGATTACCGGAGCGGTATTTCCCATCAAAGGTAACCGAAAGCAAAGACGTTCTCAATCCGAAGGGATACTACAGAAAAAGAAAATTCTAAAAAAGAAAACGAAGCACCGCGTGACACTGGGCGGATTTGCCTGCTGCTTTCACCATGACTCAAGATCCAGACAAATCGACCGAGAGCATCCACGGGTTGACCGATTGCCACATCAGCTGGGATCAATTGGCAAACACTGTGGGGTAAGGGGGTGTATCCTCCCTTTGGAAGTGCAATGAACCCCTAGACTAACGCGCAGTTTCATCGGCATCGTGATCTCTCATCATAGCTGAGAACGGTAATCCTTCAAAGGCTTCGATGGAATGGCCCACTTCGGGCGGGTCCCCGAAGTATTTTTTTTTTGCAGATCTGCAAGCCCTTGCTAGCCAGCGTTAAACGGGCCTGGGGTGGAGATGATGGTGGAGTCCAGGCGCTTCCAGGGCGTCTCCCGATCCTCTGATCCCCAGACATAACCAACGAGGAGCTGGGCATGGGATCTCGTGTCTATTCTCCGCGCATGCACCATAGATGCAAGCCTCCAGGGTATGTAGCAGCAACAAAGACCACGGCACCGAAGGGCCTGGATCCACCGATGAAGAGCAAAATTTCGAAAGGATCCGGGTCCCTGGAACAGGTCAGTTGACTGGAATTCCTGCGCGAACCCCCCGCTAAAAATATGAAATATGATGGGCCCGGGGCAAAAGAACGGATGCTGCAAGCTTCCCCGGGATGTCCAAATCGGGTAACCCTTGGAAGGCCCGGATTCACACCGACGTGGCTCTCGCAGTGGTACTTCGTACAACAAAGTCGAATGCGAGCTTAACGCTTTTTCGGTGAGTTCAAAGAGGGTCTAGCATTTACTCTTCAGTCAATCTTTGTAGCTGGCGTATATGCTACCAATTCCACAAGAAAGGACCGGTCTCGACCTGGCCCCCGGAGTTCCCCAGGTTTCTCCATTGACTCCGACCCATTTCAGCGCTGTTTATGGGACTGGGCCCCAACGCCGTCCCAAACGCTGTGAAACAGTACTTCCGTCCGGGATCTAGCTTCCGCGATCCACCGGGAATACCGATTAGCTCGGAGCTCGCATATTTGGCCAACCTTCGGCACTGAAGACAAGGATCGTCGATGCATAGAACTCAGCCTCGAAGGATGTGTTCTGGTCACCTGGCCTCGGTGAAAAAAGATAATACGAGTAGTTGATTTTCTGACAAGGTTAAAAACACGTCAACTCTCTGGCGACCACAGACACGTCGGCCCATTTTGCCATGAACCGGTGTGTTTCATGCACCTAGAATATAGGATAGTGTCTAGACTTCTCCATGAGTATTGTACCCTTTTACCCAGATTTCCAAATTAGAGACGTTCTACCGGTTTAATTTAGGGAATAGCACTCGGTCGCTTTTCTTCCATAGGAGCTAGAGTCTCTGCGTATCTAAGCTATATTGTGCATTGCCTAGTAGAGTTTATTCCAAGATTGGGCTTAAATTAGATACTTTGAGCGTGGAACTCAAAGTGCCAGGAAGTAGCGGGCATTCGTAATCCTTCCTGAATTGGCTCTTTTCTATTCGTCTCCGTTTCCGCATGGGCAGCCACAATTCGAACCGAACTGCCGCTGTGCTTGCAGCTTTCATTTCCAGCCTGAGCCCTGTGCAAATTAATAAGATTATAGTGAGAATATAAATGTATTTTGTACTAACAATCAATTTTGGCTCATGTCTTATTCCATGTTGGTATCTCATGGTCATTACCTAACTATCCTGTAGGTGTGGTTTATAACAGACAAATGGTTTCAATTGGTCTACCCTGGTAGAAGAGGCACGAGACAAGAAAAGGTACTAGCGTAGTATAATGAGTAATTTTTCTGGCTATTTATTATGAGAAGGCCATCGTATGCAGTTTGATCAAAGACGCCCGGAACCCCGAGCAAACCACAGTTCCGATCATCGTGCTTCCCTGGGCATGGCGAATTCATCCAGACTAGGAGTCACCGTGACATTTCAATAGATAAAGTCTATATTATGCAGCTAATTTGTATCTATTTCAATGACATTTAACATTCAAAGCCATTCTATGGATCTCTGAGACCCATTTTATACGTCACACAGCTTTCTGGCAGTCATTTCAAGCTTGCTCCACTCCACAACCTTGGCACAAGATCATTCTTCTCCCATGCATCTGCGATCTCCATTTGGCTCCCGATGTCTTCGAAATACGCCGTAGCCCATTTGTCTCCTTCAGGGCCCGGCGATACAATCAGTTGACGAAAACCTAGTGGGACAGCTCACTGATAACTTCAAGTTGAAGGTCATCCTACTTACGGGCTGTCCCTTGGGCATCGAGGTTGAGACTGCCCGCGCATTTTCTTCTCTTGCAGCTTCTTAGGAAAGTCTTCTCTTGGACCCAGAAGGCTCACTGGTTTTAATAGACCTGCTATGTATTATGCTAGCTAAACTATATCCACTCTTCTGGAGCTCGGAGTGCGCTCGAGGTATCCTAACCCTAGGAGCCAAAGAGACTGCCAGTGTGTCTTTATCTGCATCCTGATTTGTCTTCCATGCGTGCTCCTGTCATTCCCAGCGCATGTCGATTGCACCAACCTTTATTCCGGACCAGCGGGGGTGAGGCGCGGTGTGGCTCTAGGTCGAGATATTTTCTCGATTGAATGGCGTCAGGTCTCTGATCAACTCTTGAGCTACGACCTCTCTTGCAGACTTGTTGTATGTGGGAGATTTCTCCTGATGCTCACGTGCGGATTTGGAGGGACTGTCAGACTAATGGTCATTGAACACAAAGGATTGGCCTAAGAAAATAGTCCCTGCGTATGTTTGCCGCTATTCCAGATCAACCAAGCCCAGTGTGTTTGTCTGACCCCCCGCACTGCGTAGACTTCCAAAGTCCAACTTCATGAGTAGCCGGTCCACCCCTGCTGGCTTACGCGGCTGGTAGTGACTGAAGCTGGGGCCAGTGCTACCATCAGGCCATCTTCTTGGCCCTGTTGTGCCATTGCTAGCGGGGTAGTCCGAGCCCGAGCGTCGCTCGTCAATGTCCCGCAAAGTCGCCACAAGCTCCTGGATGCCTGTTTTAACGTCTTTGCGAGTTTCCCTCAGTTCTTGCCAAACTTCTCGCTCTTCCTGTGCGTAGTCTACCAGCGCATCCACAACACCTTCATCCGTTTCTAGATCCATGTTTCGTTGAATGGTATCCAGTCTAATTGTGAGGGCAACGAAGCGATCGACACTTGTCAGGAGAGTCCGAAGTACACTGGTGAAGGGTACGTCTGTTAAAAACAAGGACTGGATGACGCTGGCTAGATGGCGTCGGTGTGCAACAGTCAATGCTTCTGGGTCATGTCGACCCATCGACGCTGTGCCTGGTCGAGATGATGGTCGGCTAGACGGACGATCAGGAGGAGTAGTCTGAGACGTTCTTTGGGCCTTGAAAGAAGTCGCTGTCCCAGGCCGAGAGTTAGGAGCAGAAGTAGGTAATACATTATCCTTTTCTATCCATTCACGGAGGTGTTGCCAGGACTCATGTACCACCTCGCCCTGGAAGAAGCTGCCAATCTCCGAAAGAACAAACAGACAGGCACTGGAAGTCGCCCAAATTGGTCGCATTTGCTGCGTGCGAGCATTTGTTCTCTCACGGTTCTGCCTCCGCTTATTCTGCAAGAAGGCATTGTTGCTTCGTGGTGGCATTCGTGCGCTGCCATGGGTTCTGCGAAGAGAGGTTCGTTTCCACAAATCACCGAGGTGGATTTGGGCGCGTCGAATTCCGAGGAGATAAGAATGAATCTTGGCATAGATTGCAATATCGGAACTTGAGAGGAACAGGTCCAGAGGCGCGCGTACCTGGGCCGTTAAGCATGTTGGAGTAGGGAAAAGGAGGTCCTCGAAGGAGACCCTGGATATTTCAGGGATAGTGTTGGAGCTGTACGATGGGGTTGTAGCACGGCCATTCTTCCCATCACTGACCGACAGCCTAAGGAGCTCGCGAGCCAGCTCTAATCCCTCATCTGCTGGATCCTCTTCTTTTTGTAGGGAGAACAGTTCAGCCCATGCGTGGGCCAACGAAGTCACCACATCCCCTTCCTTGATAAGAAAGCTGTTCAATGCATCTGACTGCTGAATCTGAGCTAGTGCGCCACGTCGTCGACTTTCCTCGATTCGAGAGTCTGCATGTGCAACAAGCGCCACCACAAACTCCCCCCGTCCCAGGAGTAGAAAATCGTTGAGCAATGTGAGCATTTCAAGTATCTTGGGCAAGGGAAGCAGTTTAGATAAAGTGGATTGGGACAATGATAATCGAATGCAGTCTACAGCAGTAGAAAGCTTGGGGGATGATACAGGCAATGTGAGGCCAGAAAGCTGCTCAATGTGTTCCTGATACAACTTCACTGGCGCAGTTGATATTCCACTGGGGGTCTTTCGTTTCGCACGAATGTGATTTAACGACTTGCCGATGAACAAAATAGACCCTGCCGTTTGCTCAGAGACGAAGCTCGGGAGCAAATCCGTCTGAATCTTGAACTGAGCGTCGTCTTGCTCTCTGTTGGGATCCTCTTGGATAAAGAAGTCCTCCCTGCCATACATGGGCAATCTACCGTATAACAGCCACATGGAAAGCTGCTTCATCCATGCTGTTTCTGCTGCGGTCACAAGTTGAACGGCCATGTCTTTTATGTCTAGGTATCCGGTTTGCAGTCCATCACGCAGGTGATTGATTAGTGCAGCCCCCGAGCACCCATACCGATGGCCTGAATAGCGGGTTTCCGGTTGAAT